ACCCGGGGGAAGAAAAAAAAAAAAACGCAGCGAAGGAAAGATGAAAAATCCCGTCCCTGCAAGTTTGCGCATCGGAGACTCCCGGCCTGCGGAGGGGGCTGAGCCAGCCACGAAGACCCCCCTCCCCTCCAGAGGAGAAGGGGGGGGGAAACTCCCGCTCTCCCCCTGCTGTCCAAGGAAGAGCCCCCCCCCCTCCCCAACCCCAGGCTAAAGCCTTGGCACTTTCCCACCCCCCCCATTTCCAAGGACACACTTACCCACAGCTCTGTGCCCCAGTTCATGGTGCCAAGGAGGCTTGCGGAGAGCGAAGCGGTGGTGTGTCTGTGGGGAGGGGGGGGTCCTCTTGGAAAGCGGCTGGAGGCGAAGGGGAGGGTCTTTTGGGGAGGGGGGGGTCTTCAGTTCAGCCCCTTCTTCTCCTCGCTCCCGCCTGGCCCCGTCGGAGGCGAGCCCCCTCCCGAGCCGCTTGCCCCACTGGCATAGGCTGCCCAGTTGCAAGGCGAAGGCAAAAAAGAGAGGAGGGGAAGGGGGCTTTCCTCCCGCTGGGTCTGCCTGTCTGTCTCTCTCTCTCTGTCTGTCTGTCAGGTGGCTTCCCACCCCTCCCTAATTTAAAAAAAAAAACCCAAAAAACCCAAAAAAACCAAACTCGGACTTGCTATCTTATCTGCCCATCGCTTCCTCCGTCCGGAGGCAAATATATATATATATATATATATATATATAAATGGTTCTAGCAGCAACTCTGGAAGGCTTGGGGAAGGGAGGGAGATTGACAGCTCGGGGAAAGGGGAGAGCGCGCATGCGCCGGGGAGGGGGGGTTTGTAGAAAGGAGGGGTGGGGAAGAGAGAGGAGGAGGAGGAGGAGGAAGAGCAGGGGGCTCCGGGGATTGCGCAAGCGCGAGAGAGAGAGGGGGGGGTCTTTGGCGCGCGCACACACACACAAACATCTACACCCCCCCACCCTTCAATGGGTTGAGCAAGACTGCAGCGCCTTTTTGCAAAGCTTCCAGCGCAACCCTGAAGACAGCAAGCAGCTGGTGGGGTGGGGGGGGGCAGAGATTGGGGGGCTCAGCGCAAAGCCCCCCCCCTTTAGCCTGGCTCTCGGGAAGCGCAGCCGGCTTGATCCGGACCAAGCCGGCTTTGCAAAGGCGAACGCGATGCGCCAATTCCTAAGGTGTGGACCGCGCGGACGAGCTGGGCGCAAACGCTGCTCGGTCAGAAGCAGATCGTGGTTTAACGGGGTGCTGCTGCAGCTGCTTGGACGTCACGCCCCCCCCCCTCCCCTATCAGCCGGCCTGCGCTGTCCAAAGCCTCCCAACTACAATCCATCAATCAGGACACATCTGGAAGGGACCTCAGAGGTCTTCTAGTCCAGCCCCCTGCTCATGTAGGAACTCTATACCATTTTGAGACAAATGATTATCCAGCCTCTTCTTAAAAAGCTCCAGGGATGGAGCACCCACAACTTCTGGTGGCAAGCAGTTCCACTGGTTAATTGTCCTCACTGTTAGGAAGTTTCTCCTTAATTCCAGGTTGCTTCTCTCCTCGGTTAGTTTCCATCCGTTGCTTCTTGTCCGGCCTGCTTTAGAAAATAAGTTGACCCCCCCTCTTCTTTGGGGCAGCCCCTCAAATACTGGGAGACTGCTATCGTGTCCCCCCCACCCACTGGTCCTTCTTTTCTGTAGACTTTAGAACAGGGGCACAACAGGTGGTTGCAAGCCCTAAACTTGGTACGAAGTTAGCCTCTTGAAGGCTTTCCTGGTTGCCCAACCATCTCAACCTGTAGGCCGGTTCTGGGCAACGCCCGGCACGATTGGTAGAACCGAAGGGCTCTGGGAGGTCATCTAACCCAGCCCACCTGCAGGTTCACACAGTAGCCTTATGTGACGTTGCCGGTTTGGCCAACGGTCCCACCAGGCAAGCGAAGGACAACAACAATGTGGGTGTTTGTGCGTGAAAACAGCCATTGTTCTTTGTGGGAGCCGCTGCGAGGCCTCCAGTCAACAAGAATGCGGTGAAAAACGCCCAAACATCTTGCCTGCGATCGCAGTTGTGAAGGTGCCGTAGAGCCGGATAGGAATTAAAATACCTATAATACGTCTTATTCGGGAGCCCCTTTTGGAGACCCAGTTTGGTTTAGTGAGTTCTAGGCCCGCGTTAGCCATGGAAGATGGCCAATCACCAGGAGTCAGGGAATTCTAGTCTCACCTTAGGCATGAAACCTGGTTGGGTAACCTTGGGCCAATCAGCAGGAGACTGGGAGTTCTAGTCCCGCCTTAGCCATGAAAGCTGGTTGGGTAAACTTGGGCCAATCACCATGAGACTGGGAGTTCTAGTCCCGCCTTAGCCATGAAAGCTGGTTTGGTAAACTTGGGCCAATCACCATGAGATTGGAAGTTCTAGTCCTGCCTTAGGCATGAAAGACAGCTGGGTAAACTTGGGCCAATCGGCAGGAGACTGGGAGTTCTAGTCCTGCCTTAAGCATGAAAGACAGCTGGGTGACTTTGGGCCAATCGGCAGGAGACTGGGAGTTCTAGTCCCGCCTTAACCATGAAAGCTGGTTGGGTAACCTTGGGCCAATCACCAGGAGTCAGGGAATTCTAGTCTCACTTTAGGCATGAAACCTGGTTGGGTAACCTTGGGCCAATCAGCAGGAGACTGGGAGTTCTAGTCCCGCCTTAGCCATGAAACCTGGTTGGGTAAACTTGGGCCAATCACCATGAGATTGGAAGTTCTAGTCCTGCCTTAGGCATGAAAGACAGCTGGGTAAACTTGGGCCAATCGGCAGGAGACTGGGAGTTCTAGTCCTGCCTTAGCCATGAAACCTGGTTGGGTAAACTTGGACCAATCAGCAGGAGACTGGAAGTTCTAGTCCTGCCTTAGGCATGAAAGACAGCTGGGTGACTTTAGGCCAGTCCCTTTCTCTCAGTCCAACCTACTTCACAGGGTTGTTGTGGGGGAAAATAGGGGAAGGGAGGAGTCTTGTGTGTGTTTGCCGACTCAAATTATTTGCCCAAAAAAATAAATAAAAAGGCAGGAGATTAATAAATAAGAACAATAATAAAAACACCCATAAGTCCCTTTCTCTCCTGAAGAAAAAGCTGTCCTCTATAGGACACGTTAAACGTTGGCTCTGTTTATACGGCAGAAAATCTCTTCCGAATAACCGTGGTCTGCGCCAAGTTCGAATCCTCCACCACTGAACCGAAGCATTTTTCTTCTCCTTTCTGCTCCTTCCTCTTTGACAAAGTTTAGATGGTGAGCCGTTTGGGATCCTATACAGTGTAAACAAGCCGTAGACTTTTATAGGATTTTTATAGTGAAGCGACAATTCGAAGTTAACAAAGGCACTTGAAAAAAGGGACTTGCCATCGGTCCTCACACTTCTAACCGGCACAGCTTCTCCGTGATTGCATGAGTCTTATCACCCGATCGATTATCAAATTTTGTCTTGTTTTTTTTCTTTGGCCGAGGAATGGATAGTAAAAATCAATTGCAGCAAGTGAAGTTTTTTTTTTATTAGATGGATGTTAATTATGAGGCAGCAGAAGGAACAAATTTTTGCATATTTTGACCTTGGTGTTCAAGGATCAGCCCAATTTTAGAAGGCGCCAGTCATTTTTGCATAGAAACTATTTTAAATAAACTGAGAAAAGCAGAATTTACTTTTAAAAGTTTCAGAGAAACAGCCCATCCGAAAACTGGCCGCTCCATTTGACATGAGTGATCCAATGCCTATTTTATTACTTGCAGGTAGTCCCTGACTTCTGACCATAATTGAGCCCGTTGCTAAGCGAGACAACTCTTACTGCCGTTGTTAAATTAGTCGAATGGTTGTTAAGGTGAATCACGTTTCCCGGTGGACTTTGCTTGCCAGGAGGTCACATAAGGGGATCACCTGACCCCGGGACCAACAGCTATCAATGCCAAGGTTCACTTTGCCACATTCAAGTAGCTTCAAAGGAAAAAAAACAAACAAAAATTCGAATTATGATGATCAGTTTGGTGCATTAAAGAAACTAAATCAATGTTCAACCGAGCAGGATTTATCGTAAGGTTGAACTAGGTCAGTTTTTGAAACGCAGTAGTTCTTAGATTCCTCCATTAGACAATTCATTTTTCAACCGGTTTATAGAACCGTTTGAATAATTAAGCAAGAAGCTTAATTATTACAACAGGAAGTCAAAGTAATTAATGAGTCCTTAATTAAATGTCTGCTGAAATCTAGCAAGGAAACACCAATAACTGTATTCCCACGACATCTAGTGGCGAAATGGAGAACAACAGTCAAATTCACCGTGTGATTGATTGATTGAGAGAGAGAGAGAGAGAGAGAGAGAGATATATATATATATATGCATGCGCATGCAGGTTTTGGTGTATTCGGGGCTTTTTTTCTTATCCATATGTATATATATATTTGACTATAGAACTTGATACGAATAAAGTTGAATATGTCAATGTGTGTGTGTGTGTGTGTGTATTGGTAGCTGTCTATGCTTATATAAATAGGGGTTTGTGCGAGTAAATATAAATATACTGTATATTTAGAATACAGAACAATATATTCTTGTGTTTGTACGTGTGTGTGTGTGTATGAAGTTATATATATAATTTATATATATTTTAATTGTTTTTTAATATTTGTATTTTATGTTTTTTAATTCTGGCTGTACACCGCCCTGAGTCCTCAGGGAGAAGGGCGGTATATAAATTTAAAATAAATAAAAATAAATAAATAAATAAATATAAAATATATAATGATTAGTATGTTTACATATATACAAACATACAGGGTTGCAGCACCCTTGAGGGACGGCAGAGGGCGCCCTTTGAGAAGCCCGCCTTCCCTCCAGGCGCGAAGAAAGCAGCGTCGCTCCTTCTCTCCGCCCGGCCTCTCTGTGGTCCGCCTCACCGGAAGATCCCGCGACGCTCTTGCCTGCTTCCTCCGCCGGGGAGGAGCGGGGCGTCGGTGACCTTTAACCTCGGAAGTGGGCGTCTGAGGGGAGATGTTGACGCTGGAGTGAAGATGGCGCCGGGAGGGAGCGGCGGCGGCGGCGGCGGCGGTTCCGGCTTCCTCTGCCGGCTCCTCCTGGCCCTCCTGGCCGGGCTGCTCTCCGGGGGCCCCGCGCAGGCCCGGCTCCACCACCTCACCCTCAAGGTAGGAGGACGAGGAGGCGCCCCCAGACACACACACCCCCCGTATCCCCAGCCCCATCATCCTTTAGGGCCTTTCTGCCCCCAAACACCATCATCCCCAGCCTGGAATCCCTTCTTATCCTCCATCCCCATCATCCCCAGCCCAGGCCCTTCCCCCTGGTACACCCAATCCCACCATCCTTGGCTGGGTTGTTTTAGGACCTTTCTGCCCCCAAACACCATCATCCCCAGCCTGGAATCCTTTCTTACCCTCCATCCCCATCATCCCCAGGTCCAGTCCCTTCACTCTGGTACACCCAGTCCCATCATCCTTGGCTGGGTTGCTTTAGGACCTTTGTACCCTAAACACCATCATCCCCAGCCCAGTCCCTTCAGCCTGGTACACCCCAATCCCATCATCCTTGCTGGGTTGCTTTAGGACCTTTCTGCCCCAAACACCATCATCCCCAGCATGGAACATCCCAGTCCCATCATACTTCGCTAGATTCCTTTTTAGGACATTTGGATCCCGACAACCAGCCTCCCCAGCTGACTTCCTTTAATATGAGATGTTCCAAACCCATCATCCCCAGCCTGGAATCCTTTAGCGCTGTTGCACCCCAGTCCCATCACTCTTGGCTGGATTCCTTTAAGATTGTTGTACCCCAGCCTCCACCATCCCCAGCCTGGAGTCTCTTAAGGCTGGTACGTCCTACTCCCATCATCCTCATCTGGATCCCTTTAGGACTGTCCTACCCCAACCACCATCCTCCTCAGCCTGAAGTCCCCTCAGGCTACTCAGTCCCATCTTCCCCAGCTGGAATCTCTTCAGTCGGGTACCCTCCAGCCTCCCATCATCCACACCTGGATTCCTTTAGGGCTCTCCTACCCTAACCCTCATCATCCCCAGCCTGGAATCCCTTCAAGCTACTCTGTCCCATCATCCCCACTTGAGTTCCTTTAGGCTGGTACTCCCCAGACCATCATCCTTTAGGATTTGGAAACTTGATCTGAGGAGACTTTTATCCAACATTATCACTGTCGAATATCTGGTCAAATCTTATCGACTAGCAAGAATTTTGCAGAAATGAAACAACCGGCTGGAGTTGAATCGCCCCACTTTAAGCGTATTCTTTAAAAGTCAGCTTTTTGGCAGGTGTCCATGTAAGGCGTCATTTCTTAAATTACTACTTAGATTGTCTTTCGAGTAAAATGTCTAGCAAGACTGTACAAGTGTGGAAAACGCGTAAGTGGAATTATTCAGGATGATCCTTCTGTTTGTTCACACTACGTTTATCTGTATCTGTCACCATCATCATCTTTTAATGACCCCATAATAATCCCTTGCGGGGTGGAGTGTCTGGGCAGGTGAATGGAGTTGAGTGTTTACTAGCCGGATGCCTTTCCTGTCGCCAATGCAGAGTTTTGTTCAGCACATATATTCTCATCGGGCCCGGAGAGAGAAATATCTGCCTCTACCTAGGATCGAACTCACAGCCTCCTGATTGGGAGGCGAGAGGTCCGTCTCGCACCACTCACACTTATCTATATTTGTGACACCGCTTAATTTTAAGTGGCTTTTTAAAATTTCTAGCTCGGAATTAAGTTGATCCGTTGTTATTTTAGCAGATTGTTTCATATTGAACTGTTTTTGGAATCCTTGAATTGTAAAAGGTGTAATTAGGCACCGGTTTCCTTTGATCTCGGATACAGATTTCCTTTACTTCATAACCACAATTCTCAGAAAATATATGTCATTTCCTGAAAGAACAGTAAGCACCTCAAACATATTAAGGTTGTTTATTTTAACGCACCAGTGACGGTCTTTACAATGCAACTTTCTTTTCAGCTACCGAGGCTTAACATTTTGCAATTGAAAATATAATTTACTCTCTTTTATTTTTTGTTCAGAACATCCAGTAAGGCTTGGTTGACATTAGCCAGAATTCTTAAACTTATAATATATCACTTCAGCATTTGATATTGTTGCTGGGGAGAAAAAAAAGATACGTTGGTATGTCACCATATTTGTGATGAGTTGACAGTATTGTGAAATGTTCCTTCTCTAAAGTGAAACAATATTTTTTTTTTTTGGCGGTAGACTAATTTTTTTTTTAAGTTGGAATTTCGCAGATGTCTTGTACTTTAATCTTGCAATGATTCTTGGTTTTGATAGGAATATAAAAGTTGATTTTGTGCGGGACATTTGAGGATTGGTCTGCTAGAAAGATCCTTATGAATGCCCTAGAAAGTTGTTAGCCTTCCTAGATAGACCTGATGGAAAACGCAAGCAGAGGAACTAATTCTAATTTATTCTAAGGCTACCTTAACAAAATCTTTTAAATTTAAAACAGTTAAGACCCTTTTAATCATTTAAACTGTATCATTTGACTGTATTAAAATCATTTGACTGTATTAAAATCATTTTATACAGTCAAAAGACGAACAGAGGTAGATGCAAGCATTTCGTATCAACTCATCAGTACCTGCATTACAATAACACGGTTAAAATCAGCCTGAAATCTTAAGAGCTAGCAAGCGCATTAATTAATTAAGCCTATAATGTATGCAGGAAAGCATAAAAATCTTTTAAAGTTTGAAACTACAAATCTCCCACTTTCTCTTTTACACTCTGAGACTGTTAGGGAAATTCCTTTCTGAGTTTCTTTCTCTGTCCGTTATGCAGCTCTGGGCTCTTTGCTCTCTTATCTGATCACTCCCTAAATTGCCTCTCCTTCTCCCACTTCCTAAGGTCGTTCCCATGTTCTACTGTTGAAGCAATACTACACCCAATTTGCTCCGCGTTGCTTCCTCAGCATCTTAGTCACAAGACCTTTCTGAATAAATATGAAGCGAGTCGGATGGCACTTCCGAAGTTAGGAATATATATTCCGTGGAGCACTTAGTCTGGATTCCCAGGAGGAGGGAGGGGCCGCATTTTAGAGGACCAAGAGTCAGAGAAGCTTAGATGGCTTTGTTGGGAGGAAGAGAGTTCAGACAGCGCCTCCCTAGCAATTCTTCGAGTTACATTTATAGTGATGCAAGTACTTGCTTTAGTTTGGCAAGATTTGTGCCTGGAGGTGAGGAACAAATGAAGGAAACTGAAATCAGAAGTCATTCTACATGTCCTCTCCTCGGTTCTTGCAGCCTGACATAACTGCAGGCATAAGCTAAAAAGATTCCTGCTGAATCAGGGCAGCCATTCAGCGCCTCTTCGTATTACAGTTAATTGTCAGGTGCAAATAACCAGGAACATTTTTATGGCTTCAAAGCAACCTTATTGTTGCAACCTACCGTATTTTTCGGAGTATAAAACGTTCCGGACTATAAGGCGCACCTACCTTTTTTGGGGAGGAAAACAAGAAAAAAAAATCTGCCTCTGCCTCCCAGCAATTTGCCTCCTTGCAGTAAACAGCAAACAGCGGAGGCCTAAAATGGGGCACGCGGAGGTGGCAATAGGCCATGGCAATCCCTGCAGCCTGAAACAGCTGATGGTCGGGAGCCCGATCCAACGGACCATCAGCTGCTTGTGATAATCAGGCTGTGTTGAAGCTGAAACTGAAACGGGCTGTTTGCTGTTTGCTGCAAGGAGGCAAATTGCTGGGAGGCAGAGGCCATAGGGTGGGGACTGGCAGGTGGGCGGGGCTACATTCGGTGTATAAGACGCACCCAAATTTTTACCCTCTTTTAGGGGGGGGGAAATGTGTGTTATACTCCAAAAAATACAGTAAATACCACAATCTAGTCAACTAACGGTCAGGGCTAAATTGGCGCTAGATAAGGGTCAACGGGATTCACAGCCTTCTGGATCCTTGTAGCTGCGCAGCGACTCCAAACTGATGACACATTTAACCCCACCTTCCAGTTTTGCCTTCTCATTTCCTACAATACAGGTTAGTCCTCGACTTACAACAGTTCTCTTTACTGACTGTTCCGAGTTACAACGGACAGGTCTTTTGAGGCTCTTCTTACGTTGACATTGTGTTTGGAAAGCAACCTTCAGGCCGTTCTTGTTGTTAACTAGAGTTGGCGCTAATAAAGATGAGCGGAGGATTGTCCTAGCTCTTGTCTCTCTGGTCCATCTTCTCCATAATCAGATCACTTGGAAGCCCCACCAGAATTTCGACTTTGTGGAATGAGTCTCTGGTGAGGGACCACGTTCTCCAAACCCTGCCAGATGGTGGCTCATCAGGGGTCTCGTCCTCCTGGCAGTTTTTAGGAGATTTGTGTCATTGTATGAGTAGGTGATTAGTGTGCCTAATTATAACACAGATGGTTAGAGGGCAGCCGAGCTGGTGACTTTCAAGCGTGATTAAGAACCCTCGCCGTTCCTCTCTTTCGCGCCGTAACCTCCCATGTTTCATGATCTTCTCAAAACAAACAAGCAAAAAAAACAACTCTTGGGCACTGACATTGCACTCAGGACAATAAAGTCCTGTTTTTCCCCGCTTTTAATGCTCCCATAAATGTGGGCCGTTTGCCAGTCGCCCAAAATACAATTATGTGACCAGGGGGGCATCTGAAGTTCAAATCTGGGTTGTAAGTAAGCCCTGGGAAGTTCCATTGTAACTCTGAACTGTCACTAAATGACTGGTCATAAGTAGAGGATTATCTGTATTTGGCAATTACTGTAGCTGCTGCTTCATAGACTTCCCATAGTTAGAGGAAGAGGAAGAAGAAGAGGAGGAGGAGGAGGAGGAGATTGTTATTATTATTCTTTTTTATTCATTAAAAATGGAACTCAGTCAACTGGACATTTAAAAATGTGTCACAAATACTACTACTATTATTATTATTATTATTATTATTATTATTATTATTATTATTATTGCAATAGCACCAGCGAACTGCAAAAAACTGTGCTACTCGGAACATCGTACATCTTAAGAAGGTCCTTGGTTGATCCCTAGGACGCTGGCAGCAACCCCTATCAGCCATTAGCACCAGTCCGTGGTATTTGTGATGCATTTTTGAATGTTCAGCTGACTAAGTTTCATGTTTAATGAATAAAAAATAAATGATAATGATGATATTGTGGGAGGCCCTTGATGCTCTCAGCCTGGTGGTTTTCTTGCAGCCATTGCATTACCCAAAGAGGTAATATCATCAAACCCACCCACCCCTTTCCTTCTAGCACTGATGATGTTACCTAGCTTGGTAATGAAACGACTGCAAAAAAGCAACCAAGCTCAGAGGCCACCTAGGACTCCAAAGGTTCAGTGGGGCTCTTTTGCTTCCCCCCCACCCTCTTCATCTACGGCACCCTATAAAAAATTTTTTTTTTTTTGGTAGGATGACCTGCGGCAGAAAGTCCACCTCAACACGTTTGGCTTCTTCCAGGATGGATTCATGAAGGTCACGGTCAACAACCTCTCGGTCAAATCCGTAGGGGAGAGCGACAAAGACATTCAGGTAAAGTCCCTTTTGCCCGGAGTCCATCACACAACTATGGAGGAGTGAATAAGAAGGAAATTCAAATTTTGAATTTTCAAAATTCGAAATTGAAAATTTCAAAATTCGAAATTCGAATTTTGAACTTGCTCAGCCCACTAAGAATGGCTGCTCTTCAGAAGAAATAGGCCTGCTCCCTTGGTAAATGGGAGTTTAAATTTGTCTATCCTTGTGTCTGTTGCTTTTTCAAAACCTGTAGGCAGCCTTGAATATTAACCTTTTGTTCTTCGTTAAAAATCTGCTTTTAGGTGGGCTTCAGCTTAGATCGAACACAGAACGATGGATTTCCCACTTACCTGGTAAGAAAATACATGTTGTGACCTCGGCCCAAGTAGTTATTAACAGACACAATCAGTCCTAAACGAACATATTTTATTAGAATAGGTCGTAAAATGGGGCAAAACTCACTTAACAACTGTCTCGCTTAGCTACAGAAATTTGGGGCTCAGTTATGCGATCGTAAGTCGTATCATGATTGTGCCAAGGCTGAAGGCCGTTTTGATGATGTTTAATTGAATTCATCTTATAAGCATCTCTCTTTTTTTCTTTTTTCTTTTTCTTTTTGACAGAATGAAAAAGTGGATTATTGCATTTTGAATCAAAAACCAAGCCATGAAGTCTTGGTCATCATTCTGCTCCTGGATTTCTCAGAGAAGTTGTAAGGAACCTTGGAGAATTGGGGATGGCTGGGGAATTCTGGGAGTTGCAGTCCACACCTCTTAAAGAGGCCAAGGTTGAAAAAACACTTGACTTAAGTGTTTTTAATGTTTTTAAAACATTACATGTTTTTAATGTTTGCTGAGCCTCAAAAGCAATGAAGCCAAAACAGCTTAAAGCCTGTTTTTTTTAACACACACACACACACACACACACACACACACACACACAAATGAGATGTATGTATGTCTAATATATATATATATAGGTCTTTGGTTATTCGGGTCTTCTCCCACGTAAAATTGGAAGTGTCTTGGCGACGTTTCGACGAAGTCTCATTCGTCATCTTCAGGCTGGTGTTCTCGGCTTCGTGCTTCCAGGAGCAAGTGCCTACATACAAACACCTGCGAAAACCTGAGAAAACATATATATATATATATATATTAGAGGATAGAGAATATCCCAGTCATTTTGGTGAGGTGCCTAAAAGGAAAGAATTTGAAAAGATAGCTCCAGTTAATTTGAGAATTAAAGCATGCCAGAGTTGTTTGTTCTCTAGGATGAATTAAATCAGTCTATTCAAGAAGTGTAATTAAAAAATGATCAATAAACCGATGTCTCATTTTGGAATAAACGGTGCATGTAGATGCAAATTAAATTGGAAGAAATAACTATGTGACATTGGGGACATCAGATGCTCTTGTTCTTTTTTCCCCCCTTTTTTTAAATTTATTTTTTGGCCTCTCTCATTCAGCATTTGATAATCGCCAACTCAAACTTTGTCCTTGTCGCTTGCAGGGTCAAAATCAAGTTTGGAAACAAAACTCCACAGTTGCCTGAAATTATCTTTGGCGAATCCCAAGCAGCTGGTCCTCCAGGAATTACCGAGAAATCTGGTAAGTCCGTGCCCTCCCCCCCCCCCCCCCCCCCTTAATAGAAGCAATTTGTTCCACCCTCCACCCGATCCGTGGAGACTGGGTGTGACTCTGTGCCAAGTCTGGCCTTGCCCTGCGTCTGAAAATTAGCTCTCTGGCAGCGTTCCACGTGAGATAAGGTGGGTGTTGATAACCTTCCTCTGAAAGACTGTTTATCAAGCGTTGCGGACTGTAAATGAAAGTGATTTACAGCTGTATGAATTAAAGAGGTTTGCCGGGACTAAAGTTTGTGCTGTTTACTTTCTAAGGAAGCCTGGGTCAGAACAGGTGTGGTCCTTCTGCAAAACCACACAGGCCGGTTGGATTATCTAAAATATCCATTTTTCCCCTCCCCCTTTGTTTGAATTGCGTCTGACTTTGCTTTATCTTCGCCTTTTAGAACCTAAGCAGTCGCCTAAGGACAATACGACAGAAGTTCAGGTAAGCAGCCATGGGATTCTCAATGGAAGATGTAATGTCCTTTCTCCATCCTGGTACATGTGATGGGGAATTCTGGGAGTTGATTAAACTGGGTTATATATCCTTGTCCTGCCTTCTGGTGCTTTGGAGAATAGGTTGACCCCCTCTTCTTTGTGGCAGCCCTTCAAATATTGGAAGACTGCTATCCTGTCTCCCCTGGTCCTTCTCTTCACTAGACTAGCCAGGCCCAGTTCCCACAGCTGTTCTTCGTATGTTTTAGCTTCCAGTCCCCTCATCATCTTTCTTGCTCTTCTCTGCACTCTTTCTAAAGTCTCCACACCTTTTTTTATAATATGGCGACCAGAATTTATATCTGTTGCTTCCGATCTGATTTATGGCATAGACATAAAACTTCATATATATTTTTTGTCTGCCAGGTGCCTGCTGAGCGAACGCACCCAATGCAAAGCGGGAACAATAGTTTTTCATTTCAGGTAGGTGGTTTTATTCCTCACGACTCCTTATGAAACCTTTATCGTTGAGGAATTTTATGGGTTGCGTTCATTGCTGCAGTTGTTAAGCTAGTGACACAGATCACCTGTATTTGTTTTGTGTTGCTGTGCCTTTATTGTAGAGGAATTTTATGGGTTGCGTTCATCAGCCTTTCCGGCGGTTGCGAAAACGCTAGGAGGGCCAGATAATTTTTCAGCTAAACAAAAACGTACAGCTCAAAACGTTTTTCATTGGGTGTTTTGCTGATCCTTATAAAAAAATCTCACCAATAAAATAATGGCTAGAGATCAATTACGCTATCCAGGCGCATCCAGAATTCTTCTAATTCTCATTCTGCTTCAGAAGCGGAATGGAGATAGCTTTGCAATAGATGAAATATTTGAGAGGTAAATAATATCAGCAGAATGCCATTCTGGATTTTTATTGTGTATCTAATTTCTATACCCGCCCAGAGTCACTTGGTTGAGTTGGGTGGCTGTAGAAAAGGAAGGAAGGAAGGAGGGAGGGAAGGAGGGAGGGAGGGAGGAAGGAAGGAAGGAAGATAATATGCTTAGGGAGGGAGGGGGGAAGGAAGGAAGGAAGTAATTGTATGTTTTGCTGTGCACAGCCATCCAAAGGTCTCTGGTAAAGTAATTTGTAGCTAAATTGACAACAAATAATTACAATAAGTAAAACAAGTAAACACAGCCAATAAAGCCTCTTGATTCAGAATCTGTGCAAAATCTGGCCAAAGTCATCTCTTCTTCCTTCTGTGTGTTTTTCAGTTCAACATCAATTCAAAGGAACAAGAAGGACTTTATAGTCTTTATTTCCACAAGTGCATACTGGGAAATGTGCAGACTGAACAGGTCCCCTTCAGCCTGAATGTAAGTTGTTTTTTTTCCTTGCTCTTTTCCTTCCAAGAATCAGGAATTGAATTACTCATGGGTGTTTCATTGTCCCCAGATGAAATTCCTTATCAGAGGTCTGTCTCTCATTTCATCTACCTACCTACCTACCTTTCTTCTCTCTCTCTCTTATCTATCTATCTATCTATCTATCTATCTATCTATCTATCTATCTACCTACCTACCTACCTACCTACCTACCTACCTACCTACCCTCTCTCTCATCTATCTATCTATCTATCTATCTATCTATCTATCTATCTATCTATCATCTTATCACTCTTCTATCCATCCATCCATCTATCCCCCCCTCTCTCTTCTATCCATCCATCCATCCATCCTGTATTGTGTTTATCTCGCCAAAAGATGTTACATAAAATGTCTGTACAAAGCATTAGAACAATAAATAAGGACCTTGATTTTTTTTAAAAAAATTGAATTAAAATAAAACCAAGCAGGATTGTGAGACAGAGAAATCTCTCTGACCCGTGTTAACCCTAACCCATTCACACAGCCTCAGGGTTTCTACTAAGGAGCAATTGACTGTGGGAATTGCATGGGAGGGAAACGGTTCCAGATCTCGAGAAGATGCGGAGGCAGATGAGAAAAACAAACTGAAAAGCAGCCATTTATCCAGAATGGCCTAGGCCTAGGGGTCTCCTACTTGAGCAGGGGGTTGGACTAGAAGACCTCCGAGGTCCCTCCCGGCTCTATTACTCTACAATATCTTCTTGAAAAATGACGGTAGAGTTCCAGCCTTCTGCTCGGAGAAGGGTGTTTTCCTCTTCTTGAAGGAACGGATCCTCATATGAAGCAGTCTCCCAGCCAGGGTTCCATAACACGCTTCCTCACTTGTGACCTCCTTTCTTGTTCCACTTGCAGATCGCAATCATCGAGCAGAATCCCAACAGCTACCTCTCCGCTGGAGAAATCCCACTCCCCAAGCTGTACATTTCCATGGCATTTTTCTTCTTCGTGGCCGGGGTCGTGTGGATCCACACCCTTCGCAAGCTCAGGTAAAACGTGCGAACCGGTTCCCCCGAGGAGGACTTTCAAAGGAAGCTTCCCTCGGAGCCCATTGGTAAATCTCTTCTCTAGGAAGAACAGCCGAAGATTCACACCCAAATACTGTGTTTCCCAGAAAATAAGACCCTGTCTTATATTTTTTTGAACCCCGAAATAAGCGCTTGACCTTATTTTTGGGGAGGGCTTATTATTTTGGGGCACGTGGAGCAAGATGGAGCTCCTCTTGCTGTCTTACCTGATTTCCAGCTCTGTCTCCCTAACCCTAAGCAGAGGAAATGGCGGGGACCAGCTGTGCATGCATTTAAATATTTTCTGGGAGGGCTTATTTTTTTGGGGGGGGGCTTATTTTAGCGCATGCGCTCAAAAGCCCGATTGGTCTTATTATCAGGGGATGTCTTATTTTCGAGGAAACACAGTTGTTCTCTCGACATAGGAGGACTCAGATTTCCGTTGCAAAGCAAGACCGTTGTAAAGTGAGCTTGGTCCCATTTGATGGCCCTTCTCGCTACCGTTGTTCAATGAATTGCCGCAGTTCTTAAGTTAGTAATGTGGTTGTGAAGTGAATCTCACTTCCCCCTTGGCTTTGCTGGTCAGGAGGTCGCAAAAAGGGATTACGTAACACACACACACACACACACACACACACGGGACATTGCAACCGTCATAAATATGAGTCGCTTGCCAAGCGTCTGATCCCATGACCATGAAGATACTGCAACTGATAAAATACCTCAATGTGTTTATTGACGTTCAGTTGTCCTTTCTGTCTTACAGGGCTGACGTTTTTAAGATCCATTGGTTAATGGCTTTGCTTCCTTTCACCAAGTCCCTTTCCTTAGTCTTCCATGCGGTAAGTTACCTCTTGATTCACTTGTTTCTGTGCCGCAGGGAGAAAGAACCATAGAGTCCTAGGACTGGAAGGCACCTCGGAAGTCCAACCCTCTGGAGAGTTTGCGTGTCACAGAGATTGAGGCCATTCAGAAGCTCCTTCCTAGCCGGACAAGATTGTTCTTCTACAGATAGTTGCAAACGATCAGCCAGGCTAACTTCCAGGAATTGCCATAAAACATCTACAGATTACTTGGCTGTCTTCCCTTTCATTTAGCAGCAATATGTTTTACACTAAAACCTGGATTCTTCAGACTTCCATTTCCGTAGACTTTGGGTGGAAAAACAACATTTTAGTTTAGAATTCACCCCGCCCCCCCAAAAAACAATGATCAAAATTAAATTAAACAGTCTGAACCGTCAACATCACTTGTATAATTACGTACTTAACATTTTTTTATCCTTTGATCAGTTTACAAAAATGACGGTTAATGGCATACATTTGGATTTAGCGGACGTTTGGATTTAGCGGACATTTGGATTTAGCGGACGTTTGGATTTAATGGACACCCCCTTTTTACCAAATTGTCAACCAAATCGAAGATTTATTTGTATTGGATTTCATTTAGATGTTGTTAATTTCTTTCTTCTTTTTTTAGAATCTTATTAGAATGGAAGGCTATTGTAAGAAAGCTTAAAAAGCTTAGTGGCTGAATACCGACCTTTGCACTAACTCCTGCTCTTTTTTTTTTTCCTCCCCAGATTGATTACCACTATATCTCCACACAGGGCTACCCCATCGAGGGCTGGGCTGTGGTCTATTACATCACACACCTGTAAGTCTGTAGAGTCTAGTTGTAGATTTAAACAAATCTAGTATGGGTTTAGCAGTTTGAATCCGTAGTGCTGCATAATATGGCTCAAATGCAAAATAATAATAATATTTGTGCTAGTCGTTCCCGACTCAAGGGGGCAGTGCTCATCTCCGTTTCATAGCCGAAGAGCCAGCGCTGTCCAAAGACATCTCCGTGGTCATGTGGCCGGCATGACTCAACGCCAAAGGCGCACGGAACAATCTTCCCTTCCCACCAAAGGTGGTCCCTATTTTTTCTATTTCCATTTTTTTTAACGTGCTTTCGAACTGCTAGGTTGGCAGAAGCTGGGACAAGGAACGGGAGGTCAGCCCGTCACGCGGCACTAGGGATTCGAACCGCTGAACTGCCGACCTTTTGATTGACAAACTCAGTGTCTTAGCCACTGAGCCACCGCATCCCTCTATTCATTCCTTAAAAATATTATTATTATTTTGCATTTGAGCCATATGCCCCGCCTTTAGGAGTGGATTGTGGCTGCAGAGTTACCTCTTGTCCCTTTTTGAACTGTTTTCGCTTGAGGGCTGCTTGGAATTGCCGGATGCATCAATCAACCTGTCGCCGTTGTTTGTTTGTGTGTGTGTGTTTTTAACCAGGTTAAAAGGCGCCCTGCTGTTCATCACCATTGCTCTCATTGGAACAGGCTGGGCTTTTATTAAGCACATCCTCTCCGATAAGGACAAGAAGATTTTCATGATCGTCATCCCGTTGCAGGTGAGACGGGCCAGGAAAGTTCTCGGCCTGGATTCGTTGTAAGCGGCGTCCCAATTTATGCGTGACAGGGGGGCACATTCTCTTCTGCGACTCACGCTTAACGCAACGTGCAGCCGCCGCCTCTGAGACCCCGTGACTGGGAAGGCAGAAAATATAGGTAGTCCTTGACTTATGACCACAATTTCCGAGCCCGCAGTTTCCCTCACTCAGCAAGACAGTTAAGCGGGTTTTGCTCCATTTCTACAACCTTTCTTGCCACAGTGATAGCAGTCTTCCAATATCTCAGGGGCTGCCCCAAAGAAGAGGGAGCCAAGCTATTCTCCAAAGCCCCTGAGGGCAGGACAAGAAGCAATGGGTGGAAACTAATCAAGGAGAGAAGCAACCTAGAACTAGAGAGAAATTTCTTGACAGTTAGAACTATTACTCAGTGGAACATCTTGCCTCCAGAAGTTATAAATGCTCCAACACTGGAAGTTTTTAAGAAGATGTTGGATAACCATTTGTCTGATGTGGTGTAGGGTTTCCTGCCTGGGAAGAGGGTTGGACTAGAAGACCTCCAAGGTCCCTTCCAACTCTGTTATTCTATTCTAGTTGTTGTTATGTTATAGGGATAAGGCTGTTAAATGAATCCGGCAGAGTCGCTAAGGGGAAGCCAAGTTCTCTTCATGACCGCATTCATTTGCTTAGTGACTACAGCGATTGGCTTAACAGCAACCGCTGCAAAAAAACAACAAAAAAAAAGGTCATAAAATCAGGCACGACGCGTTTTAACGACTGAATCCCTTAGCGATGGATGTTCCAGTCCCAATGATGGGTTATAAATCCATAATGGTGTGTGTTAAACCAAGTGTATCCACGGAGGATGTTTGTCCGGGGATAAGCGCTGGGATAAAGTGATTTCAAGTCCCATCTATCCAACAATCCTAGAAACCTGTTGCTTCAGTCCAGCAGAAGTGTGCAGTTGTTGTTTAGGAAATAAAATACTGTATACTTGTAATCTATATACATTTGTATATAGATTAAGGAATATATTACTTATTAACTTGATTTTGACTGTTAGAAACCAGAGACGTTGAGCAATGTCCATTGTTTTACTTTTAAAACTAATAAAATATTTATAAAAAGAAGAAGAAGAAGCAGCGTGCAGTTGTGTGCAGATAGTCAGATTCGCACCGTTTCCCCTGTTCCCAGGTCTTGGCGAACGTGGCCTTTATCATCATGGAATCCACCGAAGAAGGCACGACAGAATACGGGCTGTGGCGAGAGATCCTTTTCTTGGTAGATCTCCTCTGCTGCGGGGCCATCCTGTTCCCCGTTGTGTGGTGAGTTTGCAGGAACGAAGGCCGTCGGTCGGGGAAGAGCAGAAACCCTGCCCACTTCCTGAACAAGATATATTTATTTGTGCCCCATCAGTCATGGCATTCAGCCGGTTTAGGCAAACCGGTAGTGGGGACCTGCAGATGAATCTACCCGCCCCAGCGCTATGCCGTCCTATTTAGCCGCATTTTCTAAGCCACCCGCGAGAGCAAAGCGTGTGCACGGAAGGCCGGTGAAGAACCGGTGGTAAAATTATGTGAAACCCTTCTCAGTGCCCCATCTTGATTAAACCCCAAAGAGAGCTGGTGGGGGGGCCGTCTTTTTCTGGGCAGGAGTTGGCTTGAAGGATCTTGCCTAGTGATCTGTCATCAATTCACCGATCGTTCTCTGTCCTAGGTTGATCCGACACTTACAGGAAGCTTCTGCCACGGATGGGAAAGGCAAGTGATTGATTCCCAATTTGGGGGGTGCGGGGGGGAGGTGTTCAGGTGTTCTTGGGGTTCCACCAGATTTCTGCAGCCCGGAGGTTCCAAGCAACTTACTTCCTGCCAGCATCAGTGAACACGGTTTTTTTTTCCGATTGCTAAAAAGTATTGGGCCAGTCCCGATCCGTGAGTTACTTTCTTGGCTCTGGAGTGGATCCCTCGTCATCTTGAGTGAGCCAAGGCCTCTGGCGAGAACCCAAATATTTGAATTGCTTTATTAATTTAGGCTCCAAGGCACCCCAAAAGTCAGCAGGTATTCACTTCACTTCAGTTCACCTCTCCTTCCTTCTGTCCCTCCCTCCCTCCCTTTTTTCTTTCTTGTTTTTTGTTCTTCCTCCTTCCTTTCCTTCTTTATGATACCCTTTTCCTTCTTTCTCCCTCCCTTCCTAATCTCTCTTTCCTTCCTTTCCCTCCTTCATTCCCTGATCCATCCTCCCTCCCTCCCTTCTTCGCTGATTCTTTCTTTCCTTCCTTCCTTCCATCTCTTCTCCCTCCCTCCCTCCCTTCTTTCTTTCATCCATCCATCCCTTCTCCCTCTTTCTTTCTTTCTTCCTTCCTTCCTTTCTTTCTCTTTCCTTCCTTCCTTCCTTCCTTCCTTCTCTTCTCTTCTCTTCTCTTCTCTTCTCTTCTCTTCTCTTCTCTTCTCTTCTCTTCTCCCTCCCTCCCTACTTTCTTTAATCCATCCATCCATCCATCCGTCCGTCCCTTCTCTCTCTCTCTCTCTCTCTCTCTCCCATCCATCCATCCATCCATCCATCCATCCATCCATCCCTTCTCCCTCCCTTCCTCTCATTTATTTAATGACTAAGACCAACATCCTTCAGCTGGTCGATCAATCTTCTGGAACAGCCCTGCAGTGCCATCTTAGTGGCCATCTCACTGAAATCTAAATCCTATTTTGATTCAATTAAGCTTCAGCTGGATAGGGATAAGATAGTTTCCTCCAGTTCCTGGCTCTGCAGATGCCTTGGCTATAATCATCATTCTATATTGATGGCAGGTAATTAAGACTCTTCTATGCAACTCCCCAGAGCCGGCCGTTCTTTGTAACAATTGTTCAGAGCTGCTGGATTACAATTCCTAGAAACACCCGGTTGGCCTAAGGCATACAGGTAGCCCTCGTCTTACAACCATTCGTTTAGTGACCAAAGCTACAACGGCACTGAAACGAATGACTTAGGACTGCTTATCACACTTACAACCGTTGCAGCTACATCATGCTCATGTCATTAAAATTCAGATGCTTGGCAACTGTCATGTACTTATGACGGTTGCAGTGTCCCTGGTGTGTATATGTGTGACATGATTCCCTTTTGTGACCGCCTGTCAAGTCGAGTCAACAGGGAAGGCCCGATTCGCTTAACGGCGGTTGCCAAAGAGTCGTCCGGTGGGGCACAACTCGTCGAGCAACTTTCTTGCTTAACCGTGGAAATGTTGCTCTCGATGGTGGCCGTAAGTCGAGGACTACCTGTACGGGTTTTACGACCGAGCGGGTGACGGTCTTCAAACTGGGAAAAAGTTCACACGTCCCTTTCCGAGGATTTGAGCAAAGGAAGCCCGACCACAAGGAAATTGTTCCAGTTTTTCCAATCTTCCTTTGCTTTGAGGAGATGCGTTGCTGGTTGGTCATCTGTGAGGATTCCCAGCCCTCCATCCATCCAGGCCACACCCTTGTCCCAAAGGTCCTTTTCTCCAGATTGGCAGCTGGACTTTCCTTTGCTTTTTCTGCTTGCTTCTTGACCTTGATGGCTAAGAGATGCCGGCTGCCTCCCGTCACCCGGCTGAGTCCTGGAGACTCCGCCACCTTCGCCCTTGAAACAATCCAGGTGTGGATTTCTCGGGAGGAAGTAAATCGGTAAAACGTGAGCCCCAAGGTCTCTTCTTCCAGCTCTCTGAAACCTGGGAGAGAAACCAAGATTATTTATAGATGCACATCAAAGTCCTTGGCCTCGTCTTTCTCCAGCACCCATTTGATACCATGTTTCCCCAAAAATAAGACCTGGTCTTACATTAATTTTTACTCCGAAAGACGTATTAGGGTTTATTTTCTGGTTAGGTCTTATTTTGGGGGAAATACGATACTAAATGCATCCATCTGGCTGACAATCTTAACTGGGGCTTATTTTGGGGGGTAGGGCTTATATTACGAGCATCGTGAAAAATCATGTTAGGACTTACTTTCCGGTTGGGTCTTATTTTCGGGGAAACAGGGTAACAATGCAGCTAATCCTTGTCTGCCTCTTAATTTCCTTTATTTGTGTATTCTTTCCAGCAGCTGCCATCAACTTAGCAAAATTGAAGCTCTTCAGACACTATTATGTCATGGTAAGGAGTTATGGGGGAGGGGGGTAAGAGATGGAGGCGAAGGGGAAGGGTCCCCTTTTTTGAAAAAAAGGATTCCTCTTTAAATGGAACACCGTCGTTTCCTCCCCAGGGAATGATGATTTAAATCAGGGGTGTCCAAACCTTGGCAACTTTTAAGGTCTGTGCACTTCAACTCCCAGAATTCCCCAGCTGATGTTCCTCAGCCCCTTACCTTCTGTTGCGAAGACAAAACCCCTCGCCCTAATCCAGCTCTCTACTACTGTACCCCCAAAATGGTGTGTAACCCTTTGTGGGTTGCCTATCCAGATGCTGCAGAAGGTTCATGCCTTAATGCTTACACTGCTCCCCATATTTGCTTCCTGCACCCCCCCCCCAAAAGGAAGCAGCTTCAGAATTGGGGTCCCCTGATTGACTGAGGCAGTGTTTCGTTACCTTGATAACTTTCAGATGGGTGAACTATTCTATTCCCATTCCAATTAATTCCAATTATTCTATTCTATTCTATTCTATTCTATTCTATTCTATTCTATTCTATATTCTTCTATTCTATTCTATTCTATTCTATTCTATTCTATTCTATTCTATTCTATTCTATTCTTCTATCCTAATCCTAATCCTGTCCATTGTCTTACCCTACCCTACCCTACTTCATTCCTATTTCGACTCAACTCTATTCCTATTCCTAGTCAATTCAACTTAACTCTATTCTTTGTTGAAGTCCACCTATCTGAAAGTTGGTAAGGTTGAAGAGCACCAGGTTGAAGGATGACCTTCCAAAAAGTGGTCCTCCTGAAGGGTGTGTGTGTGACATCTTCCCTTCCATTTGGCACGGCGAGGAGAAGCAATGTTTTACTATTTCAGAAGGAAGGCCGGTCTGTGGAATCTGGGACCCACCGATCTGGGATAGGGTGAGGGATGATGGAAGAAGGGCCCACGGCCTTACTTCTCAACAGCTGGGATTTGAAATGGACCCACCTGACCAGCAATGGACCGAGAATCTTTGGGACAGGATAATTCTTAGAATATCGACTTGGATTCTCTGATGGGAACCAGACTCCGCCCTGTCCTGTATCGCTGTCTGAGAACAGATCTCCTGTTCTGGAACTAACTAACCTCTTCCTTCCCTCCAGATCGTCTGTTATATTTACTTCACCCGCATCATCGCCATCCTCATCAAGATCGCGGTTCCATTCCAGTGGAAGTGGCTTTACCAGGTAGGAGCCCCTTCCTCCAGACCCCTTTTCCTCAAAGGAGGGCACTATTTAAGTGCGTATAGTCAAGGCGATGGTTTTCCCAGTTGCAATGGATGGCTGTGAAAGTGGGACCATAAGGAAGGCTGAGGGCCAAAGAATTGAGGCCTTTGAACTCTGGTGCTGGAGAAGACTCCTGCGAGTCCCTTGGACTGCAAGGCCATCCAACCGGTCAGTCCTAGAGGAGATCAACCCTGACTGCTCTTTAGAAGGCCAGATCCTGAAGAGGAAACTCAAATACTTTGGCCACCTAATGAGAAAGAAGGACTCCCTGGAGAAGAGCCTAATGTTGGGAACGATGGAGGGCAAAAGAAGAAGGTGACAGCAGAGAAGGAGGTGGCTGGATGGAGTCACTGAAGCAGTCGGCGTGAGCTTCAATGGACTCCAGAGGATGGTAGAGGACAGGGAGGCCTGGAAGAACATTGTCCATGGGGTCGAGATGGGTCGGACACGACTGCAACTAACAACAACAACAAAAAGGGTTCCCAACTCCAAGACAGTGGGCAGGTAACAGCTCCGTGGCCAGCTAGGAACCAGGAAGCACAAGTGAGCGAAGCTTCATCTGCACATGGGTGGGTTCTAGGTTGCGCATGAAACTACGCACACACCGGTCTGGGGAAGACAATTTTTCTTCTGAAACCGGTCCACGGTGCCAGAAAAAAGTGAGGTTTGGTACGTACTGCTGCCAATTGGCCTCTTCTGACAAGCTCCTTCGAGCTCCGGTGGTTTGTCTTCAAGCCTTCAAGGACGCTTGATGGTTTCCGGCAAAGTCCCTGAAATTGTAGACAGTGAACAATTGAAGGCACGTTTCATTGAACGCTTGCTGGCTCGCGACAGAGACGATCTCGTCTTGATCGAGAAACGGAGGGAAGGTCAGAGAAAGAGGAGGGCTCGCTCGATTGCTTAGGAAGACTGTTTTTTTCAGCCCGCGAAAATATTTTTGGGAAAAAAACCATCAAGAGCGCCGAGGCTCCTTAAATAGACTTAGTTCTGCGTCTGTTGATGGATCCCTAAATTTAGAGTCTGTGAGCTGGTTTGTTTCCCACCTCGATTTTTTATTTTATTCAGAAGGTTTAAAATACAAAATCTGAAAGGAAAACTAAAACTAGACAAAAGCATTTAAAGTGCAAATAAAAAAAAAATTTTTTTCAACGTTGTTTTCCGACAAAGAGCCCAAGAGCCGTTGCTGGTCTTTTAAGCCGTATGGGAGGGGCCAATCATCTCCTGGCCTTACTCCCGAGTCGCCCTTTTTGCTTCAGCTGCTCTTGCCTTCTGGCAGCTCTGCTCATGTGTGCACTAGGAACAGGCTCCTCCTGTTCCTCTGCCTCTCTGCTGTCTGACTCTGGAGGCTCCGGAGGTAGTACATCGCTCCCAGATGGCCCTGGCCCCATCTCTGCCTCTGACGCAGAGCCCTCATCCAGGCCTTCCCCAGCCTCCAGGACTGGCCATGTTCTTCCTCAGCCTCCTCACTGTCCGACTCCGCTGCCAGGTCCTCGGGCTGCTGGCGGACCACAACAGAACGGTCCCTAAATGAACCGTTGTAAGTCGAGGACTACTGACTATTGACCGCAGAATTTCCCCCCCGGCGCAATCTTCTTCTCTTTCTGTTGTTGCAGCTGCTGCACGAAATGGCGACCCTGATCTTCTTCGTCCTCACCGGCTATAAGTTCAGGCCGGCCTCCGACAACCCTTATCTGCAGCTTTCTCAGGAGGACGATAGTTTGGACATGGAATCTGTGTAAGCCAGAAAAAAAATTGGCCACCCCCATTCAGTAACCATTCCTCCTCCTCCTCCTTCTCCTTCATCAAGCAGAACCTCTTCCTCCCTCTTCTCTTCTCTCCCCTCAGGCAGCCACAGCTCACACCTCTGCTAGGATTTCTGTTCCGTCTTCTTCGGCCTCGCCAAGCCCCCCCCCCCCCCCCCCCGTCTCCTCCCTCCTGCAAATAACACCCCTCTGCTCCTTTGATCAGCCCCTACTGAGCTCAGAGCAGGACAGAAATATCCCCCCTCTCCCGTCTCCTAATAAAACAAAACATTTTTTTTTCGCCCTTCCTTTCCAGGGTGACCACCTCGGGCGTCATGGAAGGTATGAAGAAAGTCAAGAAAACGGCCAACGGCTCAGCCGAGCCCCACGGCGAGAGAGAAAGCGCCGCGTGATGGACTTGGCCTCTTCCTCCTCCTCCTCCTCCTCAACAACACACACTTCTCCTGACTTCTTCCCCCCCCCCCCCCCCCCCTCCCTCCCCCACCCTTTAGGACAAGGCAGCACTTTTTCCAGAGAACTGTAATTTATTGATCCTTGGCTTCCCTCCCTCGGTGGCCCAGAAGCAAAGAGACGACCTTCCCACTGTAAAAAGAAACACACACCTACACACACGTCGGGCTTGGGCGGTGATGGGTGGAGAGAAGGATAAAAATACAGCCAGGAAAAAAGAATCCACAACGCGGTTTTGTTCCTCTGTCTTAAGGCTCGGGCTTTTCTTCTGGTGCCTAAGAGGAAGGGTTAAAAGGACGGATGATGGTGGCGGCTTTCTTTTTTTTTTAAGAAACATTTTTTTTTACTTCCCCCTCTCCCCATCTCCCTTTCTTTCCTTCTCCCTCTCCCACCCTCCCTCACCCTCTCCTTCCCTGCCACTCCCTCCTTCTCTCTCCCTCTGCCTTTCTTTCCTTCTCTCTCCCTCACCCTCTCTTTCTCCCTCCCTCTCTTTCCCTCTCCGTGTCCCTGTCTCCCTCCCACTCCCTCCTTTTCTCTCCATCTCCATCCTCTCCCTTTCTTTCCTTCTTCCTCTCCTTCCCCCTCTCTCCCTCCCTCCCTGTGTTCCTGTCTCCCTTCTTCTCTCTCTCCTCTTGGTCTCCATCCTCTCCCTCCCTCTCCCTTTCTTTCCTTCTTCCTCTCCTTCCCTCTTTCTCCCTCCCTCCCTTCCACTACCACCACCTCTCTCCCTCCTCTCCCTTTCTTTCCTTCTTCCTCTCCTTCCCCCTCTCCCTCCCTCCCTCTCCCTTTCTTTCCTTCTTCCTCTCCTTCCCTCTCTCTCCCTGTCCCTGTCTCCCTCCTTCTCTGTCTCCTCTCCATCTCCATCCTCTCCCTCCTTCTCTGTGTTCCTCCCTCTCCTCCCCCCCCCAAATATCTCTTGCGTTATTCGGAACACGAGCTTCGTTGGACTTCCGGACGGGGAAGCGGTGGCTTTGAAACGCGATCGGAGAGGTGTGCATAGGAGTGTATCAATCCGCGCTGCTTTCCGAAATGTAAAAAACAAAAAATAGGGTGAACTGCTTGAGAGGTGAATGGAAAGCTTTTGTGTGTGTCCTTTGGTGGTTAGCTTGGATGCCCCTTGCTGCGTTTAATCATTTCCCCCCTTGGGTCCCGTTCCCCCCCCACCTTCTTTCAGCTTTCATTGGAGCGGAGGGCGAGGGAGGCATTCTGGTTCTCGTCCCGCCGAATCGGAAGCTGTTTTTTTATTTTTGAAATTGCTGCTTCCGTCAGTTTCCGTAGCCTGGGTGGAACTCCTTCCCTCGGGTGGCGGGAATGTATGCAATGGCGCGAGAGTTTAAATAGTAAATTATTATTATTTTTCCTTCCATTTCTCTTTGTTACAAAGCAGAGAAGGGTTTGTAATCCGTGGGAAGAAAATGGCATTATAAAACTCTGCAGAATTTACCAATCTTGGAAATTCCTCTCTTTACGCTCTGTAAAACTGTTGCATATTTTGGACTCTCAATTCCCAGCACGTATTCCTGGGAAAAGAGTGTGTGGAAAGGCCCTTGCCACTGGCTTCAGTTTACAAAATTAGGCTCTACTCTTCTGTAGCACGGCTAGTCAACACAACAAATGAAGCAATTACAACCCAGATCGGTCAACCCGGATTCGTGAGTGACCGACATCTTAGGAAAAGTGAATTTTTTTAAAAAAAACAACCCTCCCCTGTTCCTATTTCCTCCTGCCTTCCCTGACAGCACCGTATCATTCGATAAAAGGCCTGTGTTCGCCTATCATGCTGAGCCACAAATCATGGTTTAAAAGCCATCATGGTTAAGCCCAAACTGACCGCCTTCGCTGCCTTGGTTTGTTGTGTGAACCAGGCTGTCACTGTTAGCTATAATGTGGTTCTCTTTTAGCTTTGGGTGAATTTTAACCATTGGGGGCTTGATGGCTTGAAATAAAATTCATTGCTTAAGATAGCCAATGTAGGCATTTGGGAAGATCCCTGGCCGTGTCTTCTGTTAAATTAAGCAGAGCCGCTCAAGATTGCAAAATCCGAAGGCATGTTGTGTTCTCTTTTTGTGGTGAGGGGTGCTTCAGTTGATGGCTCCAGCAGCCCCCGGTTGAGATTTTGGATGGCTGGTTCCCCAAACCTTAGATATGGCAGTGAGGTTGCAACCGTTTGGAGGTCACAGAAGATGCGGAGTGGTTTTACAGCTCTTAGCAAGAAGGTAGACCTGAAGTTTGTAATCCTTGGATCTTTTCTGATCCCAGCTACTGAGTGAATCTACTGCTGACTCTGTATCTATCCCAGAGATCTAGGACCCAGCTTTGGGGAAGGATATGATTTAAGCTTTATTGTTTAACACATTAAGCTCTATTGCCAATCCCTTCTCTGTGTTAAATTCTACGGTATTGTTAAATTTTCTTGTTAAGCTTTATGGCTAACTCTTCTTAAGCTCTATAGGTAAGCCTTCTCCTTGTTAAGCTCCATGGCTAACTTTTCTTGTTACATTCTACAGCTAACCCTTCTCCTTAATCTCTATAGCTAATCCTCTTCTATTAAGCACTATAACTAACTTTTCTTGTTAAATCATGTGGCTAAGTTTGCTTCTTAAGCTCTATAGCTAATTTTTCTCCTTCCTAAGATCTATGACTAACCCTTCTTGTTAAGCTCTATAGCTAAACCGTCTCCTTGTTAAACTCTATGACTAAGTCTCCTAAGCTCTATAGCTACATTTTCTTGTTAAGCTCTTCTTACTCCTCTCCACTGCTGATCCTTCCCCTAGTCCTTGTGGCTGAAACCGGCATCTGGTAACGTAGTCTGGGGACCGATTAGACTCCTCAAATGATCACAGCAGTCAGGTGCGCGCGGAGGAATAAAGTTTTGGGTGGCAGCCTTCTCTTTTGTGTAACTGTAAATCCGCAAGACGCACTCCCCTGGCTCCTCCTGAGAAGTGTCTAGAATGTATACCTTGTTAGCGGACATTGGATGTAATTGTACCATCGAACGTGCGCTTGTAAAAGCTAAAGGGAACCACGCACCTTGGTCCGATTTTGAACTGGATCTTGGTGGCATTGCCCGCTCGGGGTGAATTTCCAGTAGCCAAGCCCCAGATTCGGCTTCCTTTTGCACTGGGTGCACCGAAGTGGGTTTCAGACACCCTGTTAACTCTCTATTAGTGAAAATATTTGGGGGACGGGGGCGGGAGGGAATGTCTCTGCAGGCCGAGCAGCCTCCAAGTGGTTGGCCTGGAGAATGATCAAACTCCCTGCTTAGGACTTTTGAGTAAATGTGAATAAATGTGCACCCATCCTTCCAGCAGGCCTCTGGGAACCCCTTAATGGTAACAGCTCTCCAGCTGTTGCCCCTTATACCCTCCCCAACCCCCGAAAAAGTTGCCGTGATACCTGCCTGCTCCCTCTTGGCCCTTCTATCTCTCAATATCACCAACCTTCCCGGGGAGAAGGTGCCCGCAAAAAGAGGTTTGGTGCATTGCAGCATTTTCACGATGCAACCTGGTTAAGGGAATGGAAAAGGCTGCTCGCTCTATCTCCCCTACCCACCCACCCTTTTTTACTTTCCGCTAAGCAAGCAGGACAAAACTGAGATGGAAGCCGGGGAGGGGAGTGGGGCGTTATTCTCCGTTGAGCGTGCAATGCCTTAAACTAAGCCAGCAACTTTCCTGTCCCTGCCAAGGCCAGCCCACCGGTGCCAGAGGGGGTGTGTGTGGCTGTTGCTATCTTTTTTCTTTTTTTTTTTTCCTGTTTGGGCATTCGTTCATTTTGGAAACGAGCAAAAAATATCCTTCCTGGGCTCAGGGCGGGAAGTCTTGGTGAGATGCGAGAGCGTCAGGACGTGGGAAAGGCTGGTGTTGGGTCTGGGAGAAGTCAGATCTTTCCTCTCTGACTTTCCAACTCCAATCGGTGGTCTCCACAGGTCCAAAATTCCAGAAAAAAAGGGACTTGTGAGTATTACCTAAAACCCATCGGCCTCTCCTAATCCGTTCCTCGCTGGAACGAGGCAGGTTCCGGGGCTTTTCAAACCAAAGTTTTGATTTATTTGGGGACTGCTTGAGATAAGAATGATACTCGGAGCTGAACAGAGCGATGTTTTATCAACTTTGGCGGTTTTTACAATGGACGGACTTCAATTCCCAGGATTCCCCAGCCAGCCAGCATGCTCAAAAGATGGGTGGAATTCTGGGAATTGTAGTCCGCTTGGAGGGATTTGAAGCGATACTCCTTAAAATGGAGATTTTTTTTCCCTCCCCATTTTTCAAGTTTCCTTCCCACGGCGGGTTTCATATACAGCACCTCTTTTGCATTATTATTATTATTATTTCTCCTCCCAGTGGGTTTTTCATTCATTTTTCTAGTCCATTCCTGAAGATTTATGTTCTCGCACCTTAAAAGTTTTAACCCAATGAAAACTTTTAAAACGGCAAGCAGGAGCAGTTCAGTCCTAGGAAACACTTCCGGGTTCAATCTGGGAATAAAAGTTTATTATTTCTTTTCCTCTCTTCCCCATTTCACTCCAAGGGAGGGAAGGGTAAAACGCGACACTCCCCTTTAAGACCTCAAAAACCTCCCAATTTCTTTTAAAAAACAAAAACAAAAAAAGAAAGTACATTTGGGGCTTTTTTAATGGGGAAATTTCATTTAGGAACTCGGGGTGGGGGTGGGGGTTTGGTCCTTTTTTAATTTCCTTTTTTTAAAAAACAAATAAATAAAATAACAGTATTTCTGTGATAGGGGCTGATACCAATTGAGGGTTTTAATTTCTCTCTATATAATGTGATTTCCCTGCTGTGGATCAGGTGTATAAATTAAAGAATTCATAACGAAGCGGGTTTGGCCTCTGATTCTTGAATTCCTTCTTTTGCTTGGAGGTGGGGAAGTCTGTGGGTCAGGTTTCTTTTTTCTTCCTAGGACTGTGTTGGTGAACCTTTTTGGCACCGGGGGCCGAAACGGGAGCGCACGTGCAGGGGACACAGGAAACTGGAAGAGCAGCTCCCCGGTGAGCACGCGTGGAAGTGCTGGAAACCAGAAGAGCAATTCCCTGGTGTGCACGCGCAGGAGGGCAGGAAACCGGAAGATCAGTTCCCCGGCGTGCACACGTGGAAGTGCTGGAAACCGGAAGAGCAATTCCCCAGCGCACATGTGTCCGCCAGGAAGCTAAGCGCACGCCGGTCACCTGGTCTTCCAGTTTCCGGCACTCCCCCATGCGCGAAGACCAGCTGGAACCCGGAAGAGCAAAGGGCGACGGCTGGCGTGCCCAGAGAGATGGCTCTGTGTGCCACTTCTGGCACGCGTGCCATAGGTTTGCCATGACAGTCCTAGGCAGAAATACTCTTTCTGGTATTTTGGGTTATTCGAAAGAAGAGAAATACGATGTGATCTCAGGACGTTTGATTAAAATTGCATACAAGTAGTTCACCACCACAATTGACCCCACAATTTATATTACTATAAATTATTATATTAAGTGAGACATTTGTTAAGTGGGTTACACGACCCCATTTTAAGTAAATCGCTGCTATTCAAATTATTAAATTAAATTATATTAAATTATTAAATTAACAACACAGTTGTTAAGCAAATCTGGCTTCCCTATTGACTTTGCTTGTCAGAAAGTCGCAAAAGTGACCCCGGAACACTGCGACCGTCATAAATATGAACCCAGTTGCCGAGCTTCTGAATTTTGATCACATGGGGTGGGGTGGGGTGGGGGGAATGCTGCACCGGTCGCAAGTGTGAAAATCGGTCATAAGTCGCTTTTCTCAGTGACGTAACTTCGAATGAACCGTTGTGTGGTGATGACTTTATAACTGCCAAGAATAAAAATTGGAGAGCAGGCTTAAGTTTTAGAAATAGATTTGGGGATTGGAGGCTAAAACACGCGATGAAGGGTTGCGTGAACCATTCTGTATCTAGTCTTGACAATGTGAAACGCTAGCGATGACATGATAGCTGTCTTTCAATATTGTGTTGTGGCTCCGTTACCTGAGCCTGTGTCATCGGCAGGAGAGGACTCCGAGAGTGAAGGAGAGGAGTTGGCAAGCCTCTCTCTCCAGGACCCTCCTCTCTGGCAATGCCTTTCGTGTCCGCCGAAGGGCAAGAGATAGGCCCGGGGCCAAGCACATCCACACAGCCACAGGTGGACAGTAATGAGGGAGATGAGTCTTGGCTGGATCCTCGGCAGCGTCGCAGAGATAAGTGCGCACAACAGAAGAAGAGGCATGCCAGAGATTAAGCTGAGTCACTGGACCACACCCCACAGGGTATAAAAGGGGGTGAAGTGGCCATTCAGACTCTGTGATGGACAAAACTAACTACTATCGAGTCACATTGCATCTTTGGAAACAACATTATCTGCCTTGGATTTATTTTACGAACTGGACAATTCTTGGAACTGTGTGTATTTTGTTTATGAGTAAAGTTCTTGGCAAGCAGGTATTGGGTTGCTGCCAAGCTTCTTATCGGAAGAATTGGTTGTCTGCCAGTTTATTTAACCCCCGGCTGTCTGTTTGTGTGCGTGTGTGAGGCGGGGACAGAACATATTGGAGGGGGTTTTCACAGGGAAGAGGGGATTGACTTAGTCAATCTGTCTCAAAGAAAGGGTTAGGGTTAGAGCGTAAACCATACCTGGCGGGAAAGAACCCGCTGGGAAAGGTTGGGATGAGCCAATTCCGGCGGCAGCAATCCAAGAACAGGGCCAGCGTCCCAGAGGTGCTTTTTTCCCCAGAGGCATCGACTTTGTTTCCCCTCTCCCCTCCAAAGACCTTTCGCTTCTCCTCCAAGGAGCTTCTTCAGTTCTGACTTGGTGGAGGATGGAAGGATTTATACGAACCGAAGAAGCTTCTTGGATGAGGTCTTTGGTCCTTGGTCTTCAAGGAAAAACCCAAGAGTTGCCTCTTGAAAAAGCACTTTGAGGACAAATGATGACCTGGATGACTGAGAATCTCTCCATATTCAGTAAAGGATGCTGCAATTAGGTTTCCTAACTCGCCCCCCCCCCGAGTCCCGGAGTCTCATCCTTGGGCCAAGGCAGATTCGGGTGGAAGCTCATCCCCAGCGCCAGCCTGGCCTCGCCCACCCACCCACGCGCCCCTTTCAAGGAGCTGGCGAGGGCGGGTCTCCTTCCTTCCCTCCTTCCCTTCCTTCCTTCCTTCCCTCCCTTCTTACCGGCGCCCGCCCCCAACCCAGGCTCAGTTTCCCGGGAGGGAAAGGGAACCCCTCCGCATTCTGCAACTGGCGCTCGCTGGTGAGTTAAGTAGCCCAAAAGTGCGCTTGGTGAGGTTCGGGGACCTCCCCACGCTTTTGTTGGGAGGTGGAGAGGGGTCTTCTTGTCCTTGAGGAGCCTGCGCGGAACGGGCTCTTTAGTTGCCCCCCACCCCCCCCCCCATCTCCCCCCCCACGTGGCCTCCTTTGACCCCCCCCCCCCCCCCTTACAAAATTAGGCTGTCTGCCTCTGCTTCCCCCCCCCCCCCTTCGTCATCCCGAGCGGCGCGTCTTCGCCTCGCCTTGCTTGCCAAGAAGGATGACGCGCAAAAGCGCATCAACGGGAAATGGGGAAGGTGGCTGGAGTGGGGGGGGAGGGAGAAGGGGGAATGGGGGGAAGGGCAGGCTTTTCCAGCCTCCTCCTTCTCCTCCCCACCCCCACCTTAAGGTGACTGAATGATTGCTGGGTGCTTGTTTCAACCGTGGCTGGTGGAATAAAAACATCTTAGTTCCTTGGGGGGTGGGGGGGCAGCTAGGAAAAGCTAGATTTGTGAGAAAGGGGAGTGGGTGTCCCCTTTGCCTCCCGGCCTTGCCTTTCGCCAATCCTCGGGACCCGGCTCGGGTTGGTTCAGCTTCTCCCGCGCAAGCTTGGTAGGATCGCGTCTATCAAGTCTGTTGACCGTCTGGACGCGTGTTCTGAGGTTGTGGGAAAGCCCTCGCGTGAAAGAATTGCCGGAGTGAAATTCTATGGACCCCGCCCCCCTGCGCAAGTGCACGCAACGCCCTTGCACTCCCCCCGCTTTTGGCATGCAATGGTACGGTAGGCCCGTTTTTCGCCCTCCCCAGGCTCCAGAGGCTTTCTTGGAGCCTGGGGAGGGCAAAAACAGCCTTCCCCACCCCTGGAGGCCCTCTGGAAGCCGGAAATGCCCCATTTGCTGACTTCCAATGGTCCCAGAAGGCCTGAAAATCAGCTGGCTAGTGCGCACATGCACCCCGGAGCTGAGCTCACGTGCCCACTGATATGGCTCCACGTGCCACCTGTGGCACGCGTGTCATAGGTTCGCCGTCACGGCCCTACACCATTTCTGACAGGTGGCAGCCCAGTCTCTTCTTGAAAGCTTCCAGTGATGAAGCTCCCACAACTTCTGAATAACAGAACGATTACAGCTTAACAGAGTTGGAAGGGACCTTGTAGATGAGCACCGCCCCCTAGAGTCGGGAACGACTAGCACATATGTGCGAGGGGAACCTTTACTTTGACCTTATATACAGAATAACAAAGTTGGAAGAGACCTCGGAGGCCTTCTGGTCCAAGCCAGGAAACCTTATACTATTCTGGAGAAAATCTCTTCTTGAAAACCTCCAGTGATGGAGCATCCATAACTTCTGGAGGCAATTTTTTCCCACTGATTAATTGATCTCACTGTCAGGAATTGCTTCCCTCCTTGATTATTTCCACCTGTTGCTTCTTGTCCTGCCTTCAGGGGCTTTGTAGAATAGCTTGACTCCCTCTTCTTTGGGGCAGCCCCTGAGACAGAAGAGCAAAATTCTATTAGATTCTATTCCCGGAGATTCAGAATGTAATGGTAGTAGTAATGGGTGATGAGAGTGTAAAAACGTCTGTTTCGTTTTGTCAGACTGCAGCATCTTCCTGACCTTGGCCAGACAGATCTTGACAAAGCTAAACTAAGCTGTCTACTTCTTGGATGACAGACCAAGTGGAAATTGGTACAAGATTTTCTCTCTCTCTTTTTAGCCTCTTAAGACGGTTAGAGTTGAGAGTGATAAAATGGTTGCTTAGGCCTTGGGAGAATGTGAAAAGGAGACCATCTTGCTCAGACAGGAATGTTTTGGAGATGTTTCCAAGATTGCATTTCCTTCCTTCCTTCCTTCCTTCCTTCCTTCCTTCCTTCCTTCCTTCCTTCCTTCCTTCCTTCTTTCTCTCTCTTTCTCCTTCCTTCCTTCCTTCCTTCCTTCTTTCTCCCTCTTTCTCTTTCTCCTTCCTTCCTTCCTTCCTTCCTTCCTTCCTTCCTTCCTTCCTTCTTTCTCCCTCTTTCTCTTTCTCCTTCCTTCCTTCCTTCCTTCCTTCCTTCCTTCCTTCCTTCCTTCCTACCTACCTACCCATCCACTTCCCTACCTACCTGGGGAAACTGGAATAATGAAGGCATCGTTGAATTTCCAGTCCGCACAAGTACAAAACTTAGCTCTGGGACACAACTTCTAATTTCACAAAATCATCCATAACAGGTCACCCCTTTCAAGACCAGACGAACAAACAGGCACTGCGAGGATTCCAGAAATGCTACTGTATTGTTGTAACACTAAGCGTCACTTGTTGAGATGAAAAGAAAGGAAAGAAGGAAAGAAGGGGGAAAAAAGCAAGGAAGGAATCAGGAAGGATGGGTGGGTGGAAGGAAGGAAGGAAGGAAGGAAGGAAGGAGAGGGAGAGTGGAGGGAGAGAGGAAGGATACTAAAGGGAAGGAAGGAAGGACAATGGGTAGAAGGTGGCCAGAGGCAGAAGGAGGGAGGGAAGGAAGGAAGGAAGGAAGGAAGGAAGGAAGGAAGGAAGGAAGGAAGGAAGGAATGGAAATGAGAAGAAGGAAGAGAGGAAGCCATAGTGGAGCAGTGGTTAGAAAGTAGTATTGCAGGCTAATTCTGCCATCTGCCAGCAGTTCGATCCAGACCATCTCAAGGTTGACTCAGCCTTCCAACCTTCCAAGGTTGGTAAAATGAGGACCCAGATTATTGGAGGCAAGAGGCTGACTTCTGTAAACCGCTTAGAGAGGGCTGTGAAGCACTGTGAAGCGGTATATAAGTCTCCTTGCTATTGCTTGGGAAGGAAGGAAAGGAAGGAAGGAAGGGAAGGAAGGAAGGATGGATCTCTTCAGCCATCTGCAACTTCCATGGCTGCTTCTTCCCCACTTTCCATTCAGTCCCCAGGAAACACAGAAGAGACAATCTAAGGAAGAACAAACTGCTATTTCCCTGGCCATCTTGCTACTAAATAAGTACAGAAACTTCACACTTCCTCCAGATGACACGCTCTTCCTTGGAAGGCATTTGAAAAAAGCAAACTCTTTTGAACAATCTGGTGCGGAGTGGAGAGAAGCCTTTTGGGTGTGTGTGTGTGTGTGTTTTGTCTTGGCATCCTTTCCTTACATAACATCTTGACCAAAATTTGGTCTCCTCTCTTTTTTTTCCTGGAGTCTTTACGGCTCAACCCTGCTAATTTTGGAAGAGAACCTGACATGCGGTGGCCGAGGAAGGATAATTTTAATCCATTCGGACAGGACTTGGCTTTTTACGTCTTCATATTCGGAGGGAGAAATTGCTTTATTACATCCATCATTCCTGGCCCGGGTGAAATTTATCGAAATAGGCAGAGGGCCTTTTAGTAGCCTAATCAGCTCTTAGGGCTCAAGGCAGGGGTGAAATGCTACCGGTTCGCACCAGTTCGGGCAAACCGGTAGGTTAAAAAAAGCTACTGGTTTATCCGAATGGGTATTTCCGACGATCAGCTGTGCCGCGGGAAATCCTGCTTTCTAAATCACGTGGCACAGCTGTTCCCTCCCCTTGCTGTTCTACTTACCTTCTTAAGCCTCCTTTTTCCACGCAAAGCATGCATTTGGTGTGCGTTGTGCATGTGCACACAGCGTGCATTTGGTGTGTAGTGTACATGTCCACGAGCGGAGTACATTTGGTGCGTACCCCACATGCGTTGGCAGCGAAGCAGTGGCAAACCGCGGAGGATTTCACCACTGACTTAAGGTCTCTCTTGCTGAGCCAACCTCTTTGGATTATTTTAATAGGCAAAATCCACAAGGTTTATGGAGAGCTATCCAAGGTCCTGATTTCAATAGGCTGATTTGAGATTTTGAGTACAGTTAGTCCTCGACTTACAACCGTCCCAAGTTACAACGGCACTGAAAAGGGGGACTTTTCCCACACTTAACGATGATTGTAGCATTCCCCAGGGTCACATAATGAAAATTCAGATGCTTGGCAACTGGCATGTACTTATGACAGTGGATCACATGATTCCCTTTAACGACCTTCTGACCATACCACTTCACAACCCTGTGACTAACAGATGGAGTGATTCACTTTAATAACTCTGGCAAGGAAAGTCGCCAAACTGGGGCAGAACTCATTTAATAACAACTGTCTCACTTAGCAACAGAAGCGTTGGGCTCCATTGAGGTCTTAAGTTGAGGACTACCTGTATACCCTGCCGTGCCCTTACATCACAGCGGCCCTTCCATCACCAACTTCTCCAGTTGGGTAGATTGAAACAATCTTCTTGCATCTAGGCAACATCATCAGTGCTACATATGCTAACACTGGTGATATTCCCTAGTTGGGCCATGAAATGTCTGCACGAAAATAACCAAGCTCAGAAACTACCGAGGACCCTACAATCATCTTCCTCCTCCTCCTCCTCCTTCTTCCTCCTCCTCCTCCTTCTTCTATTCCTCCTCTTTCTGCTCCTCTTTCTCCTTCTATTCTTCCTTTTTCTGCTCCTCTTTCTCTTCCTCCTCCTCTTCCTCCTCCTCCTCCTCCTCTTCTTCTTCTCCTCCTTCTCCTGCTCCTCCTCTTCCTCCTCCTCCTTTTCTTCTTCTTCTTCTCTCCTGCTTCTTTTCTCCTCCTCCTTCTTCTCCTGCTCCTCCTCTTCCTCCTCCTCCTTTTCTCCTCCTCCTCCTTCTTCTTCCTCTTCCTCTTCTTTTCTTCTTCTTCCTCTCCTCCTCCTCCTCCTCCTCCTTTCCGTAAACCCCCTTCCCTCCTAGCACTGATGACGTTACCTAGTTGGGTCACGAAACGTCCGCCAGCAAACAATCCGGCTTAGACCTGCTTTATATCAAAACAGGGGGAGCAAACCCCACCTTCCCTCATCCTGGAGTTGTTCCCTAGTTGGGCAAGCTTCAGATGGGAACCCAACCCAGGTTCAAAAGACCTTCCTTTCTTAAATCAGGGCTACCTTTGCAAAAAAAAGAAAGAAAAAAGACTACCTGGCAAACCTTTTGTCATGCTCTCTCCTTCCTTTCCTCTCCCCCCCCCTCTCCCCCACTTTTCAAGGCCTGGATCGATCCGAGGGGCACAGAAGGAGCCCAGCCGGAGGAGGAGAAGACAAAAGACAGGCAGGCAGTCCATCTATCCGCCCTCTTCGGCTTCATCCCTTATTGGTGCAAGATCCCAGCCGCGTCGGTGGCGTCGAGGACTACAGCAGCCCAACGCAGCAGCAGCCGCGGCCGAGCAGAACCGGGGAGGGCAGGCAAGCAAGAGGAGGGCGTTTGTAACCAGGGACGACCGCGGCAACACTTGGCACAGCTCTGGGCAGGAGAGAGAAAGGGAAAGCTGAGCGGAGAGACTCTCTTTTCCCCCCCTTTGCAAAAAAAAACCCAACAACAACAGAGCAGGTTGGGGAGGAAGAACAAAAAAAGAAAAGGAAGCAAGAAAGAAATCCATTCATCATTGGCCTTCGGCTTGCTGGCTTCTTGTCTTTGGAATTCTCCCTCCCTCCCTCTTTCTCTCTCCTTCCTTTCCTTCCCTTCTTCCTGTTGTTTTCTTTTGGGGACGTCAGCTTCCCTCCCCCCCCACCAGCCCGTTATGGAGCCAAGGGCTGCTTGTCATCTGCAGATGCTCCTTTGAAGACCCTCGAGAGACGCCCAAAGAAGGACTCGGTCGGTCTCCGAACCTCTCCGGATTGCAGCGGATCCCTCCCACCCGTTTTTCCCCCCATCCCCCCCCCGCTCTCCTGCGGCTCGTGTGGGGGATTGCAGGGAGACCGAGAGGGTCCGCTTTGGAGGGCCAGGCGGTCCCTCTCCCCCTGGACTTTGCCCCCCTGCGGGCAAGCTTCCTATATGAGTCTTCCTCCAGCCCAGGAGAGCCATCGGGCCCAATTGATGCCTTGCTGAGCCTGGAAGAGCCTGGATTCTCCACCATGGGCAAATCGAACAGCAAACTCAAGCCTGAAGTAGTGGAAGAGCTGACCAGGAAAACATACTGTAAGTTTCTTTCTCTCTTTTGCCTTCTCTTGTCCTCTTCCTTCTTATGCCCCATCCATCCTTTTCCTCCTTTCCCTTCCTTCCTTCCTTCCTTCCTTCCTTCCTTCCTTCCTTCCTTCCTTCCTTCCTTCCTTCCCTCCCTCCCTCCATCCCTCCCTCTCTCCTTCCTTCCTTCCTTTCCAAAGCATATTACCCTTCCTTCCTTCCTACCTACCTTCCCTCCCTCCCTCCTTCCTTCCTTCCTTCCATCCCTCCCTCCCTCCCTCCCTCTCTCCTTCCTTCCTTCCTTTCCATAGCATATTACCCTTCCTTCCTTCCTTCCTTCCTTCCTTCCTTCCTTCCTTCCCTCCTTCCTCCCTTCCTTCCCAAAGCATATTACCCTTCCTTCCTTCTTCCCTTCCCTTCCCTTCCCTTCCCTTCCCTTCCCTTCCCTTCCCTTCCCTTCCCTTCCCTTCCCCTTTCCCTTTCCCTTTCCCTTTCCCTTTCCTTCCCTTTCCTTCCCATCCACATCACTAAACCATCCAATTCTGCAACTTTCTAGACCTGTCTCCTGATAAAGAGACCTCTGGGCTCAAAATACCTCGATTCATTCCTCTTTTTCTGGGGGTGGGGTGGAGATGAAGATGCCCTGTGTGTGTGTGTGTGTGTGTGCATTGTGTTGAACAATTCTGCTCTAGCCAGCCCAAGGGCTGAGCAGGGAAAGGAGCAGCCGAGGAGGTGTGCTTGAGTTGCATGGTGCAATCTGCTGCATTGCTTTAAAGAGGGGCGGGTGGGAGGGGGAGGGAGGGAGGCAGCTCCCATTGGGGTGTTATTATTGTCAGGGCTGCAGGAAGAGAAGGAACAAGGAGGAGGAAGCCTTCTCTCTATTCTCTCTCTCTCTCTCTTCTCTCTCTCTTCTCTCTCTCTTCTCTCTCTCTTCTCTCTCTCTCCCTCTCCCTCTTTCTCAGTGATTCATGCAGCTTCTCGCCCCGAGCTGTTTCTCCAACAGCATCTGGCACCCCCTTTGGCTTCTCCTGGGGTGGGCGAGGGCTGGACAGAACTGGAAAGCAGCCCACGGGAGGGACATGCCAGGAAAGGAAGAGGAGGAGGACAGATACTGGGAGAGGAGGAGGAGGAAGAGAAGAGGGAGAAGGAGAAGAGGTGGAGGAGAAGGAAGGGGAAGAGGGAAAGGAGAAGGGAGAGGAGGAGAAGGTGAAGAGATAAGGGGAGAAGGGGAGAAGGAGGAGGAATAGAAGGAGAAGAGGAAAAGGAGGAGAAGGTTAGGTGTAGGAGGAGGTGAGACAGGAAGAGGAGGAAGAGGAATGGGAAAAGAGGAGGAATAGGAGGCAAAGGAGGAGAAGGAAGAGGAGGAGGAGGAGGAGGTTAAGAGGAGGAGGAGTAAGACAGGAAGAGCAATGGGAAGAGAGGAGGAAGAAGAGAAGGAGAAACACTGCAGGCCCTTTACACAGCGGATAGACGTGCTGATGGCTGCATTGAATTCTTGGACATTTTCAGTCCTGGGAGGGCCATTCTTTCAATCTTTGGCTTTCTCTCACCTTCCCTGCTTTAAATGCTATTTGCAATTTGAAAATGGGGGGGGGGGGGGCGGGCAGCTGCCTGGTGGGGGGGGGGAGGGGATGGTTTGTGCAGCCGAAATGCGTTTGATGCATTTATTTCACTATTTATTTGACTCAATAGCCTTTTGCTATTTTTGTAAACAACTCGATGCAAAATCCAAAGTCAAAGAATTATGTTTCGTTTTCCTCTCGCTTCTCTCTTAATTTTTTCCCCCTCTTTATTTTCTTTTCCTTCCCCCAAAACTGTTTTTTTTTTAATTTTTGGAAGGGAGGGTCCCCCATTTTGGTCAGCAAACGTGTCTCCCCCCCCTTCTGAGCGGTTTCTCCCCAGTTGCATCTTTAAACTACACAATAGTTTTGTGCCTTTTGATGGGTTTTCCAGCATTAAAGTACCCCTGGATTGGAAAACTTGAATTTTGCTCTTAGATTGCTGAGTTTCTGGATGGTTGCAGAAGTTTTTTTTTTCCTCTTCTTCCCACAGGGCTCAGTCACTCAAAGTTTGTGATAAGAACTGAGTTGTGTTCTTTCAATCTGGTTTGCTGCTTGGCTCACTGGCTTGAGTTACCTGGAGCCATTTGGCTTTACAGGAACGGGGTTTTTTTTTTAGTCGTATGCCAACCTTTCTCTGTGCTGCCTCCGTTCTTTTTAAAGGGAAAAGCAAGTTTCTAGTTCTCATTGTGGTGCCCATGTATTTTCACTGGCTTGATAATAATTTTGTGAGGTTTCAGAACCGGGATTATTTTCCCCATCACGTCTCCTTCTACACGTGGCTGTAAAAAAAAACAAACACGTTTATATATTATTCTCCTTGATTTGATCCGACAAACTTAATTTCCCTAAATCAGGTGAGCAGAGGTCCACTTTTCAGAGAGACAAAACACAGCTTCAACATCACATTGTCCTTTTTTTTTCCCCCCAGCAAAAAAACTCCATAAGGGGTTTCCGCTCTCTAGTAGGAAAGTTATCCTAACTAGACCCACAAACTGCTCTCCTTCAAAAGTGGCTCTTTTCCAAATTTTGCAGTGAGGTTGTCCACTCTGTCAAGGACCTTGGAGGACTCATCTCTAAAGATCTAAGCGCCCGAGCCCACTGTAACAACATTGCCAAAAAGGCATTAAGAGTTGTTAACCTAATCTTGCGTAGCTTCTTCTCTGGGAATGTTGTACTACTAACTAGAGCATACAAAACCTTTGCTAGACCAATTCTTGAATACAGCTCGGCTGTCTGGAACCCGCACTGCATATCAGACATAAATATAATCGAGAGAGTCCAGAGATAATTCACGAGAAGAGTCCTCCATTCCTCTACCCGTAATAAAATACCTCATGCCACCAGACTCCAAATTTTGGGCTTAGACAATTTAGAACTATGCCGACTTCAGTCTGACCTAAGCATAGTACATAAAATTATCTGCCACAATATCCTACCTGTCAATGACTACTTCAGCTTCAACCACAACAACACACGAGCAAATAATAGATACAAACTCAAGGTAAACCGCTCCAAACTCGATTGCAGAAAATACGACTTCAGCAACAGAGTGGTCAATGCCTGGAATGCACTACCTGACTCTGTGGTTTCATTCCCCAAACCCCCCAAAACTTTAACCTTAAACTGTCTACTGTGGACCTCACCCCATTCCTAAGAGGTCTGTAAGGGGGGTGCATAAGTGCACCAGCGTGCCTTCCGTCCCTGTCCTAATATTCCTTTTTTACTTACTCTTTTCATGTATTCAAATTATGTTTACACTTTTACCTGTTATCTTATATATGCTTGACAAGTAAACTTAAACCTGTTTTTTTAAAAATGGAGGACTTTGTAAAGAGGTTTTGGCCACCATGAGAAAATAGCATTTTCCTGATGCTTTGTAATGTCTTCGGGTCTCATCCCAGGTTTTCACGGCTGTTGGAGGCGGCGTTCCTGAAATCCCAGGGAAAGACATAGCTGCTTTAATGAGTTCTAGGTCGAGGTAGCTTTGCGTCTCTTGCACAATCCAAAATAATCTGAAATGTGCCCGGTCTTTAAAATAACCCACAAACGATTTGCGATAGCGAGAATTGTGAGAAATGAGCCTCAAATATTTTTAACAGGGACTGTTAAAAAAATTTTTTTTTTAATTTGGCAAGCTGAATTTGACAATTTGCAAAAAAAAAAAAAAAAAACCTGACAAACTGACAGAGACAGCCCGTGAGGTCCTTCCAAAAATGACAAATGGGAAGAGATTCAAATTCACCCAAGCCAATTGCGTTGCTAACGTGGCCATTTTGAAAACAGCTAAAAGCAAACCACGCTTGAGGCCGCCCAATCCTGCTGGCGAGTTATTTAAAAACCTTTGCTTTGGCCCACTGGGTTGCGTTTTCTACCTGGACAGTCTAGTTGCTAACCAGCTGATATTAGATCTGTCAAATCCAGGGGCAGGAAATTGCTTTGTGGCTTAAAAGTTTTTATAAATGAGGATTGTAGGAGCCAAACTTTTTGATTTATTGAACACTGTTTTTCAGTCAAGGGTGAGGGGTCCTTAGCGCTCTCTGAAATTGGCTGTTTTCTTGCAGACGTTTCATTACCCAACTAGGTACCATAATCAGTGCTAGAAGGGAGAGAGCAAGCCTCCTTCCCCTCCCTCCTCCTCCTCCTCCTCCTCCTTCTTCTAGAATAGAATAGAATAAGAATAGAATAGAATAGAATAGAATAAGAATAGAATAGAATAGAATAAGAATAGAATAGAGTAGAGTAGAGTAGAGTAGAGTAGAGTAGAGCAGAATAGAATAGAATAGAATAGAATAGAATAGAATAGAATAGAATAGAATAGAATAGAATAGAATAGTTGGAAGGGACCTTAGAGGTCTTCTAGTCGAACCCTCTGCCCAGGCAGGAAACCCTACCCCACTTCAGACAAATGGTTATCCAACATCTTCTTAAAAATTTCCAGTGATGGAGCATCTCCTTCTCCTCCTCCTCCTCCTCCTCCTCCTCCTCCTCCTCCTCCTCCTCCTCCTCCTCCTCCTCCTCTTCCCTACCTTCTTCTTCTCCTACACTCCACACACCACTTCCTCTTAACACTGATGATGTTACCTAGTTGGGTCATAAGATGTCTAAGAAAACAGCCAAGCTCAGAGGGCCCCTCATTTCAACCCTGAGCTACAGATATTCTCCTTTATCGATAAAGATGATAATTGCTCTATGGCCAAGGAAGGGAAGTGTGATTTTGTGGCTGCAAGAAGCAGATTGTCTCGTTGATCACACGGATTGCAGGTAGTCCTCGATTTACAACCACAGTTGTTGAGCCCAAAGCGTCTGTTGCTAAGCAAGACAGCGGTTAAGCGAGCTTTGCCCCGTTTTACGACTTTTCTTGCCACGGTTGTTAAGCGAATCATTGCAGAACAACTTGCCTGCAGAAGCTGCGAATGCTCCCAACACTGGAGGTTTTTAAGAAGATGTTGGGTA